GGGGTTACAGCCAGCCAGCCTCCTGCACGGTGATAGCACGGGGTTACAGCCAGCCTCCTGCACCGTGATAGCACGGGGTTACAGCACAGCCTCCTGCACCGTGATAGCACGGAGTTACAGCCAGCCTCCTGCACCGTGATAGCACGGGGTTACAGCCAGCCAGCCTCTTTCTCATTTTATCTACTATTCTAGCTATTTATTTTCTAGGGTATACTTCAATGCTTGGGAAGGGGGTTTTAAATAATTAAAGGACCACTATAGTGCCAGGAAAACATACTCGTTTTCCTGGCACTATAGTGCCCTGAGGGTGCCCCCACCCTCAGGGTCCCCCTCCCGCCCGGCTCTGGAAAGGGGAAAGGGTTAAAAACTTACCTTTTTCCAGCTGGGGCGGGGAGCTCTCAGCCTCTCACTCCTCAGTCCTCCTCCTGGGCTGAATGCAGCGGCAAGGCTTCTTGTAGCGCCAACCAAATCACTATAGGAAAGCATTTGCAATGCTTTCCTGTAGACACTAGATGCTCTCACTGTGAAAATCACAGTGAGGAAACATATAGCGCCTGAAATGACTGTCAGTGGGACAGCCACTGGGAAGACAGGGAAAACAACTTAATTTCGCCAAACATAGCAGTTTCTCTGAAACTGCTATGTTTATGAAAAAATGGGTTAACCCTAGCTGGACCTGGCACCCAGACCACTTCATTAAGCTGAAGTGGTCTGGGTGCCTAGAGTGGTCCTTTAAGGGGACACTATATTCACCAGAACAGCTTAATATAGTTGTTCTGGTGAGTAGAATAGCTCACTTCAGGCATTTTTTTATGTAAAGGTAGTGTTTACATTGCCTCTAGGAACACCTCCAAATGGCCACTGGAGGTGGTGCTGAAAAAACAGCCCTGACGTTCGGCATCCCTGCGCTCTGCATGCAGGCACAGAATTTTACTCATAGATGCATTATTATGTTATTATTTATATAGCACCAACAAATTGTGCAGTGCTTTACAATGCATTGATTCAATGCATCTCTTTGAGGAAGTCCTGATTGGTCAAAAAAAGCATTTGGCCCCGCTCCCGTGCTGATTTTAGCCAATCTAATGCTTTCCCATCGCCAAAAATTGGCCATTTTGATGATGTCACAAAGGGGGCAGGGCCAGTGCCAGCTGACCCGCACGGCGCTGGAAATAGTCAGTTTTAAAAACTTGTGTGGGGGCAAGCCACCTAAATGGTGGGATAAACACTATAGGGTCAGGAATACATGTTTGTGTTCCTGATCCTGTAGTGTTCCTTTAAGCATATGCGGACAGGAAAAAAAATTAATGCAAGGACTTTTCTCCCGCTAACAGAAGATCAGGGCGGTCAGAGCAGATTCATCTTTTTTTATTTTACATTGAATTTATATTCCTCTGCACAGTTCTGCAAAAACAACTGTGTGGTGTGAATCCAAAATGATAGGTTCTTTCCAGGTGAAGAGTAAAATAAAGCCAAGACTAAGTTTTACAAACAAAGGTTAATCCTTTATTGACCAATTTGTTTATTAACCACTTATGGACCCCATGATGTCGAATGCCTCCCAACTTTGGAATGTGTGGGTGGAGTTTTGTGGGGGCTCGCCAGGGATACATGCTATAATGCCCACAGTGGGGTGGACTGTGTAAGTAAGGGGTGGTCTTGTTCAACAAGAGGACTGGCCAACCTGAAAATGGGTAGGGTGTGCCATCCGACAAGCAGCCTGGCAAGCCCCCTTCAATCAGGACCGTAAAGAGAGCGCAGATAAAGCGCTCCCTGCATGGTCCTAATGCTGCTACACAGCACAAGTACTAATGATTTGCTGCTGCACGAGGACAGTTCCTTGGTGTCCAGCCAAAAGCAGGACAGTTGGGAGGCGTGCTTTCATGCCCAGTGACGCAGTAGACCATCATATATATATATATATATATATATCATAAATATCATTGTGTGTGTGTGTGTATATTTTTTAATGTAGACACAACTTCTTAAGACACGTGAGATATTTTAATTTTACAACTGCTATAGTTTATGATTACGGTACTGATTTAATATACATTTAAGATGTAGTATTGGATGATGTACATTCATTGTATTTCCCTTGTTTTTGTTATAGTTATCTTTTCTGTATTGTTATTGAAAAATATATTAATAATAATATTTGGCATTATTGTTATTCTATTGTTTTATTGTTTGATTATTTGCTGTGTCTGCTTTGTGATTTCAATTTTTTTCACCTGTTCCATCCTACCGCTACATTACACCCTAGAGCCTAGACTGCTCTCTGCTTGGTATAGGTATAAAGGGGAGACCGGTAATCCAGGACCTTTTTAAGGTATGTTAGCCTGTGCCTGTTCTTGTCACGGGGGATGATGGGCGACGGGAACAACACATTTTCCCCACCCGATCTGACAATACTGTCAGAGGACTCAATACCTCTGAGAAGAGAGAACTTTTTATTTATAAAAATTTTTTACCAGGAAAGATACATTGAGATTTCTCTAGTTTTCAAGTATGTTCTGGGTCTGCAAAACGTTGCATTGCTACAATAGGGTACAATAAAATACAAAAACAATATTAATATACAATATATCCAAAATTTAACATAGAACAGGTAGGAAATATATAATCAACCATGACGTGCATTCTGTTTTGAGGTATGTAAAGAGGGATAAAGGACTTTAGGCCTGGGGGAAGATTTGAAAGTGTGCAGGAGGTCGTTCCATAATTGCGGTGCTCTATAGGAAAAAGGAGGATCGGGCTACTTTCTTTTTGTATTGAGGTAGACTAAATAAAGTGCTGGTACTGGATCGGAGGTTATAGGAGGTGTGAACAGCCGGGGAGAGCATTCTGCTCAGGTAGGGTGGGAGCTTCCCATAAAAGTTCTTAGGGATTTTAAATCTAAGAATGTGCATGTTGTTTATGTACAAGAAACCCACTTTAGAAAAACAACTGCCCTGAAACTGACCAATCATATTTACCAACAGGGTTTTAATAGGAACAATACTGAGTAAATTTCATGGGACAGCAATCCTTATTGACAAATCAATCCTATTCTAACACAAAGAAACACTAGTAGACAAGGAAGGTCGTTATATTTGTAAGGGGATCATTTTGGGTTAGAGTTACACATTTGCCAATATTTATGCCCCCAAGACAAAGGCAGTTACTACAGCACGCAATTAAATGGCTGGTGTTGTTCACAGTGGGTTTTCTAATCTTGGGAGGGGACTTTAACATCATGTGCCCCCACATTGACACATCAACGGGCACTTCGGGGATTCCCGCACCAATCTTTTGAGGAGTTAAGGGCCTACTACATACTTACCGACTGCTGGAAGTCTTTTCATCTTGCCACCAGAGAGTACACGCATTACTCTATCCCTCATGATAAGTACTCAAGACTTGACTACTTTTTTTGTACCATACTGTTACCTCTCTCAGGATACCAGAGTAAACATAGGGGTGATGACTTGGACTGAACATGACCGTGTCCTCCCCTCTTTTCAAACTTTGGATGACTAACTGGAGACTTAACAAGACGATCCTCACTGACCCACTCATCTTTGCCCTGCCCTGAAGAAATATAGGGAAGCTGACATTCTCGCCCTCCTGGGACAGATACATGCACTAGACCTGAAGCACAAATCTGATCAAGACCTGTCCACATTCAAAGAACTTGTGGAATTGAAGAGCCACTCTTCTTCACCACCTCCAACGCTCTCTATAGCATACCAAGGCATTATTTTATGTTAACAGCAACAAATACGGTAAACTTGCTTGGATCCTGAACAAAATAAGAACCAAATCCTATATTGCCTGTTTGCAAGATCTCCGCAGTAAGACACAACGGTTATCTAACATGATAGCAGTAAAACACAAAAGACAGCATACAAGGACTTGTGCATGTGGTATTGGATGCCACAAAACGTGCAACGCATAGACTCCACACTAAATGATGAATGTTGGAGGTGTCACACCCGCCCAGGCACATTTCTCCATCTTTGGTGGGACTGCCCCAAGATCAAGCCTTTTTGGTACTGATTCGAGAGGTTCTGTGGAGGATTTCAGACAACCGCCCCCCCCCCCCCTTTGTTTCAGCTCCTTATCTCTTACACCACACTACTACGCCCACTGCCAGGTACAAGAAGTCCCTAACTGTTAGGATCTTAACCCCTTAAGGACGGAGCCAAATGTACACGTTGTGAACAAAACAAAATTTAAACAAAACCTGGCATTTGCGCTACATGTCTGTCCAACCGTAATTCAACTCTTTCATAGTAAATGCACCCACACTTATTATATATCATTTTGTTCAGGGGAAACAGGGCTTTCATTTCATATCAAATATTTATATATGAAACAATTTATTATGAATAAAATTTAAAAAACAGAAGTTTTAAATTTTTTAAAAAAATTTTTTAGTTCCGCCTCACATTTTAGTTGTAAATGTCATAACACTGTTTGGTTTTACTGCAAAAAAATGCACATATTTGTAATCAGCGATGTCTCACGAGTACAACAGTACCCCCCATTACCAGGTTTTATGGTGTTTTGGAAAGTTACAGGGTCAAATATAGAACGTTCCATTTTCAAATTGAAATTTGCCAGATTAGTAATGTTACCTTTGAGACGGTGTGGTAGCCCAGGAACGAGAATTACCCCCTTAATGGCATACAATTTGAAAAAGTAGACAACCCAAGGTATTGAACGTGGGGTATGTTTAATCTTTTTTAGTAGCCACTTAGTCACAAACACTGGCCAAAGTTAGTGTTCATATTTGTTTTTTTGTGAAAAAAGCAAAAAACTAATATTTGGCCAGTGTTTGTGACTAAGTGGCTACTAAAAATGACTGGACATACCCCATTTGCAATACCTTGGGTTGTCTACTTTTGCAAATGGTATGCCATCATGGGGGTAATTCTTATTCCTGGGCTACTATACGGTCTCAAAGGCAACATAACCAATCTGGCAAATTTCAATGTCAACAAAATGAAATGCAAGCTTTATATGTGACTCTCTAACTTTCCAAAATACCATAAAACCTGTACATGGCAGGTACTGTTATTCTCGGGAGACTTCACTTAACACAAATATTAGTGTTTTAAAACAGTAAAACATATTACAACAATAATATAGTCCATAAACATGATGTTCGTTTGTAAAAAATGCAAAAAACTTCACTTCTACTTAAAATATCATCGTTGTAATACAAGTTACCAGTTTGAAACACTAATATTTGAGTTCAGCGAAGTCTCCCGAGTAAAACAGTACCCCCTATGTACAGGTTTTATGGAGTCTTGGAGAGTTACAGGGTCAAATATAGTGCTTGCGAATTAAATTCTCTGCACTTTCTCCCTGTGTTGTCAGGCATGTCAATCAAATTTTAATTAATCAAATCACATAATTATGTTAAAAGATTACTTAAATATACACGTAGAATTTTAATATATATATGCATTTATAGGTATTTAAATTCTACGTGTATACTAATGTAATCTTTTATGTAATTATATGTATTTATCTATATATATTTATTTGCGGTTATTTGTATTTTTTATATATAGAGAGAGATATAGAATGTCATTCTAAGTGTATTTTGTTGCATATATATATATATATAAACAAAATACAGTTAGAATGAAATTACATATGAATATATAATTTATATTAAATTTTGTTTCAATATTTTATTTATTTTATTTAATTTATTATTGTAATTATACATATATATATATATATACACACACACACATATTATATATATGTAATGTCATTCTAAGTGTATTTTAATATATACTTAATATTAAAATACATTACGTATGACGTTATATATATATATATATACACATATATTATATATATAAAAATATATTTGATTTATTTTTACACATATTTATTTTTTTACACTTCCCACCAGCAGGGGGATTGTCTGATATTTCAGACAGTCCCACTGCTGGCAGATCCATAGCCAGTTATAGGGGGCCATGTGATCGCTCTTTGAGAGTGATCACATGGCCCCCGGGGGCCTCATTTGCCGGAGGAGGGCTGCCTGGGCGGTCTGGCAGCCCACCAGAAGAGGATCGCAGCGGAGGTAAGTAGCTGCGATCCCCTGGGGCTCAAAGCCGTTACGGTGTTCTATGCCGCCGCGACGGCATAGAAAGCCGTAACGGCGGGAAGGGGTTAAACACTGCAAAACAGGTACTGCTCCTGTTATGTAAAAAAAATGATGAGCCCCCACCTTTGACAGTCTGGTTTGATAAAAATGGAAGAGTTACGTAGACCAGAAGAGCTGACATTAATGGTACAGGACCATTCATGGACATATGGATGCACTGGTAAACTGTAGTTTACCAAGCGGACTTTCAGACACTGTTAGTTTATGGACGTCTGGCAGACAATCTGGGAAACCAGTTACCCCGCAGTAGAGGGGGAAGGGATGGGTGTCCAGTAGGATGTATGTGCCCTGATCAAGGGTATTGCAGCTCATTTGCCACTCTTTCTCTAGAAGTTCAGTTTGCGTTGAATATGCACTTCTGTTTGGCTTAGAGAGTCATGTGAACGTGACAATATGGATTCGGGAAAGGCAGGTGTTTAGCAAATGGCTTCTACCTCATTGCTTTTTGTGAGAAATGAAGTATTACCTGTATGTTCACTTGGCACTTTAGGCTACGGTAGAGAAGGCTACTTGTTTTGATGCTAACTTTTTGTTACACGCTTTGCACGTTATATTCTTATGTTCTGCTATTGTGTCTGCGTGTCCGAACTTGGAATAGGATATTACTTGAATGGCCCTCTAAGGCCACGAAACTGGAAAATACAAAATTATGTGATCTGCTTTTTGCTGTGGACCTGCATGCCCGATTACTTAACTGTTTTCTATGCATTTGGTTTGTAATAAAACTTCAATTCACAAACAAAATATTTGAAAATAATTTTTTTTTTTTTTAAATGCTGTGGCGAAACCGGCCTCGCCACGTGTCCTTGGAGGGGGCTGCTTGCCCGCCTCTTGCCTTTGGACTATGGACCAGACTTTATGTGAATGTGTTATACCCCAGATAGGAATCCCATGGAGCCCATTCGTATGAAACTGACTGTAAAGACTTTGGCTCCATGGCGATTAAACTATATTTGTGTGGTCCGAGCGCCCTTCACTTAATAATGTGCGCTCAGACCTGAGCTATCTGGGGATATGTGAAATGTCTGTGTGTTATGTGTAAAATGTGACTTTATGTATTTTAAAGTGTTTTGTGTCTTTTTGCAACCATGTGCTTAATGGAGTCTTGTGTCTGTCCTGGGAGACAATTGAATTACTTATCTCCAGGATAGAAGACTCTGAAACTGGTTTGGGCCAGAAAGCCATGCTTCATTTAGTCACAAAGGACTTTTTACTAACTTTTGAACCCCTTGTCTGATTTGTGCCATTTTTGAATATGTTGTTCCCCTGAATGGATTGATTGTGAATATGTAATTTTATGTGAATGTGATGTATGGTTTTGGAGTTATGAAAGTTGGGTAGAAAGTATGTTTTAACTGTATATATAATTGAGTTTCCTCTCAGGATAAGGGGAGGGAATATGTGGGATGTAACTGTGATGTGATTGGTTGTTTTGTAACGCCCTGTGGGCTGTACTATGTTTGTGGATTGGGAATAAAAGAGACTGTATGTGACAGTACAGGGAGTTCCTGTTTAACCCTCAAAGTGAAGTGTCGTCTCATTATTGGGGGAAGGATTTATTGTATGCTGTTCCAGTTTGACTGCTAGGAGAGTAAACCTATTCGTATGGTTCCTATTCAACTGTCTGCAGCATTCATATGCTTGGGAGATTTGTTTCTCCGGTTCGGTGATTGTGGTGTCTGCCAGAGTGCTTGGAGTCCTCAGGAAGCGCTAGGAGCATCCTTCAACGGAGGTACCCAGTCGGGGTGCCAGGCGATCCGTTACATTGGTGGCAGCGGTGGGATGGCGTCCTAGTGCGAGGTAAAGCAGCTCAGAGACACAGTTCGTGGATTTACAAATTGAAGGTGACGCTAGTGTTCATACAGCGTCCCTGTCTACATAAAGATTTGGGAAAACCAGCACTACTTCAGAGATGGAAGGCCGTGCAGTATCTCACTTTGACGCCAGGCTCCAGCAGCGACTACAGGATGTGATGCGCAGTATGGAGTATCCTATCCCAGAGGAAAGAGAGACAGAGTGGAGGGTGGCGCTTCGTACCAATCTCTGGAAGGAGGACATCGACGAAATTCGACCCTTCCGGTGCGAGGAAATCCTGACCACTAACCAGCGCCAAGCAGAACAACTAGAGCTGCGGATGCCGTTATTGGGAAACCAGCCCTCAGAGGAATGGGTAAGCGAACTGGAGACGCTAGTTGAGACTGAGGTGTGGCTGGATGATTCCTATCGGGCCCTGCGGTGGCATGTTTACCACCTCTACCCATGGCTGATTGAGTACAAGTGTATTGAGGGGAAGACTACGACGGCCCTGGTTTGTTGTGGGATACTATTGAAACTAGTCTCTGGTTCGGAGACACCGACATTGCTCGCTTCTGGTCCATCCGAGCTGAGCGGGCAGACAACTGGGACCTTACAGAGATCGATGCCATTCAGCCAGATCTATCTTTTCTTGCCAATCGAGAGTGGGAACTAGAACAGGATTATGTTTGCCTATTCCAACGTATATCGCCGCCTGTCTTTGACATGATGGGGCTTATTGACTGTATACCACCGGAAGCATTGAGTTTAGTTCCTCCTCCCCAGCAACCAAGCCTGTTATCAGGAGACCTTGGTACTGTACCACATATGTCCCAACCAGCCCCAGAGATGGAAGACCTTATTGACTTGTCCTGGGAAGACACCCAGCTGGCAGGTGGGGATGGGACCGAGGTCTCTCTACAGGCCCTACAGGGATGCTGGGCAGTCAGCCCAGATCCCCAGCGGCAGTATGTATCCCAGGGAGCTGAAGGTGCTGTACTTCCTCCCCAGCGGCAGTGTGTCCTGCAGGAAGCGGAGACAGTCGGTCTCGCTCCCCAGCAGCAGGGCAATATATTAAAAGAGAAGACAGTTGGTCCCCCTCTCCAACAGCAGAGAGTGTTCCAGGGAGAGGAACCGGTTATCACCTCTCCCCAGCAACAGGACAAATTATTGAAAGGGGAGACAGTCGGTCTCCCCCTCCAACAGCATAGAGAGTGTCAGGGAGAGGAGCTTGTTATCCCCTCTCCCCAGCGGCAGTGTGTATCCCAGGGAGCTGAAGGTGCAGTCCTTCCTCCCCAGCGGCAGTGTGTACCCCAGGGAGCTGAAGGTGCAGTCCTTCCTCCCCAGCTGCAGTGTGTACCCCAGGGAGCTGAAGGTGCCGTCCTTCCTCCCCAGCGGCAGAGTGTCCTGCAGGGAGCAGAGACCGTCAGTCTCGCACCCCAACCACAGGACAAAATAATGAAAGGGAAGACAGCTGGTCCCCCTCTCCAC